ACACATGACATTCACCAAAACTTGACATTCACCAAAACCCTGCTAGTTTTCCCCAAACCAGATGCGATTGTACTCCTCTACCCCCTGCACCTTTCCGAGCGGCTTCCTTCCTTCCAGGCTCACCCACACCTGGAGTTCAGCACCAGTTACTACATCTGCATGTCGGCTCCTGGGACTCCATCATTCTCTCCCACCATAGACCAGGGCCCCTGGGTCCTGTTCATGGTCCCTCCATTCCTCAGAATCTTCTTCCTTGCACAGCAGGGCAGGGGTTTTAACATGTCTCCTTCCTTCCATGCCTTGAGCTTCTTGCAAGCAAATAACAAAGGCATTTTTTTCTGAGTCCCCAAAGATGAGCACAGAACCTGGACTATATTAGGCCTTTCATTTGTTCCCAAATATCAGCTAACAGGCGCAAGCATGCACACGTGAAGCATTTTTTTTCCCTGATGGGGACTTCAGCAGTACATCCTAAGGACTGACAATGAGGAGATTAAAGCCCATAAATGTGGGTTCAAGTTCTGATTTTGCTACTTACTAGGCAAATTTACTTAAGTCCTTCCCCTTCACTTGAAAATGGGGCTAATACAAATCATAATAATACATTTTTGAGAATATTAAATATGGAAATGAGCTAAAGTTAACTCATGCCCAGCATATAAAATTGGCAGCTAGCATTCCGAGTGCATGTGGCTGCTAGTGTGGTGATGCATGAAACAGCAGAAATACAGGTGGGTGGTGGGGTATGGAGGGGATGATCACTAGCCCAGGTCCAAAGCCCCATCATTGCCGGGATGCTTACCTCAGCCCAGATTCTCCCGTGCCCCTTTGTGCCACAGGCAGAGCCAGCACCCAGAGTTGAGGGCATCTGAAGGGACTTGCTGCAGCCTTGTCCTTGCAGGTCATTGTTCAGCCCCCTGACCTCTGCTCAGAAGCCCACCCGTGCCTGGGGACTGGACTCCGCACAGCTGTCACATCCTATCACTGCCCCTCCAGGTTTGCAGTCAAAGACCACAGCAGAGGTGAGGCGTGATGAAGGACAGACACACCCAACTGAGGACCTAGCAAGCGACAAATTCTAATACACATGTGCGACATGTGCATGTAAGGGCGGAAGAGCGGGGAAGATAGCTGCAAAAGCTAAGAAATAATAAGACTCCTGGAAAGAGGTCTCTCTGCTCTGACCTGTGAGGCTGTGGTGCAGGGGAGGCACCTGCTCTAGAGACAGGGAGAGAGATCTTTGTCCAAACTGCAGCTGACACCTGTAACTCCGCGGCTGTCCTCAAGTCATCTACATTTACCTTGCCTCAGTTTCCTATAAGAAGATAGAGGTAGTAACAACTACTTTTGTGTGTTTTTGTGAAAATGACACATTATAGAGAAAGGGTCTATTAAAAATAGAAGTGATCGGGCCGGGCACGGTGGCTCACGCCTGTAATCCCAGCACTTTGGGAGGCTGAGGCAATTGGATCATGAGGTAGGAGTTTGAGAACAGCCTGGCCAACATGGTGAAACCCGGTCTCTACTAAAAATACAAAAATTAGCTGGGCATGGTGATGGATGCCTGTAATCCCAGCTACTCGGGAGGTTGAGACAGAAAGTTGCTTGAATCCAGGAGGTAGAAGTTACAGTGAGCCGAGATCACGCCACTGCACTCCAGCCTGGATGACAGAGTGAGACTCTATCTCAAAAAAAAAAAAAAATAGAAGTGATTAATAAATAGTTGCTATTGTGAGTAAGTGGATGTCAGAGGAGCTGTTACAATAAATCCCAGAAAGTGAGCCCTGGGAAGGCGCTGGTTTTCCATAGCAATCCTGTTTTTACTTCACAGTTGCTTCCTCTTGTGTGCATTTCCCTGCCTAGTCATCCCGCAGGGCTGTGCCACCTGCGTAGCTGTGTGTGGCATCCAGGAACAATGTCCGCATGATCCGTGGCAGGCAGAGTGGCTTGGGCATCTTCACCATTCTATCTCGAGCCTCGTCCGTGGATAAAATGCCTCCTGGAAAGTTGAATAGAGGTTGCTTCAAATGGGCCAAATATGCATTAGTGGGGAACTAAGCTGCTTTGACGGCCCCTGTGTCTCCTGGATGGGAAGTGGGGAGAGTCGTGGAGTTTTAATCTTATCCTCTTTGTGGCACTGGGCATGCCACTCAAGATCCCTGCTTATTTCCAGCCTATAACATAGAATGAGAAGCCATTCACCCTTGTGTAGCGTGGCACTGGGGGGAATTAATTATTCCATGACTTAAGGATGCTTCTGATATCAGAAGAGCCCATTATCATCATCAGTCTCCCCTCCTTAGCATGAGCACACAGCAAACCTGAGGCTCATTGGAAGGGACACTGCTCAGACCTGCGAGCCCCATTTCCATGGGCAGGTGAAATCCTGCACGGCTGCCGACACCCTTATGGCAGGTCATCAGCAAGGTTAAGTAGGGGGAAGGTGTATTTCTTTTCTGTGGCAAGATTCATTCTGTAGGAGAGCTCATACTTTGTCTGGAAGGAGTAATAACGCAGGACTGCTCTTAACTAGCTTGATGACTGTGTGTGTGTGTCTGTATGTGCGTGAGCACGTGCGTGCATGTGTTTATACCATATAAATGTATACATATGTACTCTGAACCCATATAGAGTTTTAACCATTGTGTCATCACGGACTGAATATGTATGAGTCACTCTTTCCTGCGCTGAGTTCCGCCTTGTCTGTCACGGGCGTTAGAAGACGGCTTAGATCATAGCATGCCCTCCTCTTCACATTTTAATAAGCACCTTTCCTCAATGCCATTCTGATACAGCCACTGATCCTTCAATAATCATTGCTGATATCATTTATAAGTGTTTATTCCTCTGTTTCAAAGAAAAGCTTCAATGTGGGTTTTTCTCCTGTTTTTTTTGTTTTGTTTTGTTTTGTTTTTAATTAAACCGGACCTCCAGGCTCAGAGCACTCCTCTGCCGTGAGATCTCTTAACACCGAGACAGGGCAAAGTTCTTTTTAATTCCACCAAACCTAGAATTGTGATATATGCAAAAAAAAGTCTCAAGATGCCCTCTTACTGCCAGCCGCAAAGAGGAATCTCAGCCATCCCAGCCTTCGTGGGCACTGGAGCAGCTGTGGCCCCCCTTGCTCCTGCCTGTGTGTCTAGGAGCAGGGATAGGTGGGCTCGAGCTGATGCCCCCAGACCACCCTCGGCCTCTGACCCTTGTTTGAGGCGGCCTCCGTACCATGATGCCATCCGAGGAAAGGCATCTCCTTAATGCTCCGAGAGTTCCATTTGTAAACATTTTTGAGTGAAGGTCTCTAAAGAAGCAGCCAAAGGGCGTGATGTTCCACAACACAAAGTAAGACATCCTCCTCATGCTCCTTCCAAATAAAGTCCTCCTGCTCACACAGCCGGCCCTTCCCTCTCTTCCATTCTCCCTGCTCAAAGACCATCCCAGCCTCTGTAGACTAGCGGCATGCATCTCGTCAAGATCTCTGCCAGTCCTGGGCCCTTGTTCTCTGAACCTCTGCGCTCTCTTACATAAATTGGCAACCTCCTGTGGCATCCCTAAGCCTATGTACCACCTGCCCCCCTTGTCCTATAGCACAAGCAGCACAGAGGCATGCAGAGAAGGCAAAGAGGGGAGAAGCCTTAAATCCCTGTCCTTGAACATGTTCTTGCCCCAGATACATTGCTAATTGGGTCATAACAGCTCACAAAGCAACCTTTTCACGTACCTGAGAAACTCCACATGGCTCAGTCACTTGGCCTGTCTTCACTATGACCTCACCTACCCGGGCCCTCACCAATCCATCGTTGACCGCTCTCTCAATGCATTCTCTTTTCTCATCAATGTATCAGAAATCTTTGACATGCCCTAGAAAAATTGCTGGTGATGAGGGATTTTACTGTAGAGAGATGGAAATGTTTTGGAACTGGATGGAAGTGGTGGCTGCACAATGCTGAGAATCTTCTAAATAAACGACACGGAATTGTTCACTTTGAAATGGTTGATGCTGTGTGATGTGTTTCACCTGCATGCATTATTTTTAAATGCATGTGGGGTCACTTCCAAGGTGAAGGGCCCAGTGTTCTTTGAGACATGAGCTGTAGCTAGAGCATTCATGAAGACATGCAAGGAAGGGCTGAGATGAGCAGCAAGGTGAGGAAAGCAAAAGTCGCCGAGATGCTCCTGTGCTCCACGCCAGCCCCTTGAGAGCTGGAGACACAAAAGTGGGGCTTTGCATATCCAGATTGGAAGACGTTTATGAGGGCATCACCAAGAGGAAAATGGGTCATATGTTGTTGGCAAAGCCACATTAACACACCCTTTTTACATAGCACACAGGTAAAAGTTCTAATGACTCTATGTTGCTTTGAAATCCAGCGCTTCATACAAGCAACTCAAGTTAATCAATTTAACTGTGAAAACCCAATTGTATGCATTTCCTGACACTTGGAATTTGCAATTGTAATGTCATTTGTTTCTTTGTAGTAAAAGTGCGATATTTGGAGGATGCATATTTTACTTTTAGATTTTATATATTTATCGATTTGCATGGTCTTAAAAAATAAATCTAGCATTAACACCAAACGTATAAAATAAAAAAGTTGTATTTAATGTCCATGCCCCTAAAGCAGACCGCTTCACCCATTGGACTCTCCGAAGGCTTTTCACAAACATAGCTTCTCATTCACAGACACCTCTGAAGATGCAGAGCCATGCATGCCTATAAGGCTGCATTGCTGCTTAGGGCCTCAGAACTTTGTATGGCAGTTTGTAATTTGCAATAAATCCGGTACAGCTAGAATTAAGATGATTTTCGCTCTAACTACAAAACAAGTTTGCTTTTAAACAAACCTAGAGCAAGATAGAGAATGTATCTGGAAGAGAACTTCCAGTGCATACTGTCTTTTCTTAAATGAAGAAACAGAACCTAGAGAATCTTTTTTGGAAGGAAATTTGAAGAAGAAATAATTTTTTAAAAATACCTGAATGTGGTAGCACAGGCCTGTAATCCCAGCGACTCAGGAGGCTGAGGCGGGAGAATCACTTGAACCTGGGAGGTGGAGGTTGCAGTGAGCCGAGATCACACTGCTGCACTCCAGCCTGGGCAACAGAGCGAAACTCCATCTCAAAAAAAAAAAAAAAAGCAGTCTATTTTTAAGAATACATGTGTTCAAGATTTTTACATGTAATTGGGTACTTCTAATTAAATATCACTTGTTTTTTATTCCTGTGATATGATGCAGAAAACAGGCATCGGTTACTGGTTCCCTGTTATTTAATAAAAGAAAGAGAAATAAACAACCTCTGTAAGTGTTTACTAACTTGTCAAAGCAAGCCTCAATTTCCGGCAGTCACTTAGGGATGAAAGAGGCCCTGGAACTGGGGACCCCATAATACCAAAAACTTTCCCTACTGGAATGCCTCGTAGCATTTACAGAGATCCAGAAATGGAGGCTGCAAAAAGTATTACTAGGTAAGAGTTGGCTAGAGAAAAGGAAGCATATCCTTGTCCAAAAATAGAGCTGAACCCTCCTAGTTGTTGCCAGCATGACACCACATACATTTCCCCAGTATTTGTAGAGCCCTACACAACCAAAGACAGCCAGGGCTTTGCAAGGTTCAGAAGCCCCGCTGACTCATCCCATCTGCAGCGTGCGAAGTGCTGTTTATCACTGCCTAGTCATATTCCACTCTGCCCAACAGAATAAATATCAAGTAAATGCTATGTACTTACGTAATTTGCAGAATTGATCGGCTGACTTAAAAGCTTGAATCTCCAACAAAAGAAAATGGAGTGCTTTGTGCAAATGTTAAATGCGCGGTTTAATTGGCAATTGTGCATTAGAAACCTATTGTAAAACGATCACAGTTTTGAGGGGATGCTCCAGATAGCACAGTCAGGGAAATAAGTTTTCATCTTTGGCATTAAAAAATCAGGTCTTGGAATTGAAGTTAAAAAAAAAAAAAATGGGGCAGCCTCAGTCTGGGTCTCTGTCTCACCAGAATATAACTTTCTTCCTCCTACGCTCTGCCTCCTAAATCAGAATTCAGAACATATTAAATATGTAGGCTTTAAAGATTCTTTCCTTGCCTAAATAATTTATACAAGTCTAGCAAGCTGTTAAATATCAAAGAAACACACACACACAGGCACACACACTCAGTAAGAGCATTTTACAACAGTGATTTCCCCCCACCCCAAAAAAATATTTAAGAAAGTGCTCAGCAGAAACTAAAAGCTGTCAAGTCCTCTCCAGTGGAAACTTAAAGAAATGTGTTGTATTTTGTTTCAATGAGCATCTGGATAGAGAGTTGGCCATCTTGACTCAGGTCATAAAAAGAGGTGAGAGATACGTGTGGTCCCTGAGGAGAGCCATTGGACTTCCCTTTCACACAACCATTGTCTCAATAGTGAAAAAATGTGTGTCATTTCAGCGTATTCAGTGCATTCTGTAGCACCTACTAGAACATTTATCCTCCGTATCTGGTGTCTTTCCGCCTCAGTCCTACATTTACATAAAGGCTACCTGGGGGTTCACCTTAAAGCAGGTTTTACTTGCAAAACTCAGCCTCCATGGGTGCGTCTTTCTGCTGCGTTCCTTTGTGCCTCTCATTATCACCTGAGAGTTTATAAAATAGGTAATGGAAACTCAAGTTTAAAATCTAGTAACTAGAGATTAAATCTAGTAACGCTCAGCTATGGTGAACAAGTTGAAGTTAAAAATAAAATAAACCTTTCTTCAGCTATGATTGAAAAAGGTCCATTGATACAAATGGTACTTAGTTTTCCATCCTCATAAAAGATCTCTTAAATATAAAGGAGCCCAGCTGCAAACCACCATGAATTATGATCATCGCTTCCTACAGTGAGTTCAGAAATTGCTTTTTACTTCTGGATACTGTGAAAAGCCAGGTCCGGAATCCACAGTGTACATCAGTCATCCTAGTGATGCTAATGCTTGCCATTGGCTCAAGAAGAGGAACATTAAGATTGCATTTCCCCATTCTGCCTTGCCAAAGGAAGAGACAAGACAGTCCAAGGGCACCTGATCGAAGGCGCTAACCGATATGCATGCAGTTAGACCCCAGTGCATCTGTGTCCAAGGGCACCTGATTGAAGGCGCTAACCGATATGCATGCAGTTAGACCCCAGTGCATCTGTGTCCAAGGCACTAGGCCTTCCAGGAGAGGCATCCAAGTGAGGAAGCTGCAAGTGCTGCCTGGAAACACCTGTCTTCACACTCCACCCTCTCTGGTTTGGTGGAGATGACCTCATTACTCTCAATTTTCCACCAAATCACAGTGAAGAAGAGTCATTTGTTGGAAGAAAGGGATTCATTATGGGGAAATAGGTCTTGAAAAGTATCAATACCATGGCAGCCTCATTGTCCAGCCAAGGGGGACCTGTGTGGCTCTCCCAGGCCCGTTCTCCTTCAGGCCCTCGGAAGTCCATGGCCGGGGGCATGATGTCCCATGGTGTGTGGGGTCGTCCTCGAGCAAACCTATCCTTTCCAGTTGAGGAAAATAAACCCTCTTTCCTGTCTCTTGTCTCAAGGAAGGAGGAAGTGAAAGTTGAGACGAAGCAGGCATGAGGTCCGTGGCCTGGAGGTTAAAGGTTAAACCCCCCCACCCTGAAGATCTCAGGCTATCTTAAGGGTGGGGGCGACATGGAGAAATGCCCTCTATTGTTCCTATTTATTCTTGCTCAGACCCCCTCGGTTACTTCATGGATCACGACCCCCTCACATGTACTTTCTAAAACTGTAAACCCAAGGCCCTTTCACGTGTAATAGCTAGAGTTGTGAGCCTATAGAAAGGCAGGGGTTTCCTTCGTTAGAGGAGCTTGGCTGTCAGGCAACGTGCTCCCAGCCGGAGAAATCACCCCCTCCTTCCCAGTTCAGTGTTCGAGGGGTCTGTTTCTTGCGGCTGATCCTGCTTCACAGTGGCCTGCCATGGTGCCCAACATTCCCTCATCTGACACTGTGTTAGCGAGGTGCTTGAACTCTGGGGCCTGGCTGCAGAATTGAGTGCTGGCTTTTCTTCTTACTAACTGGATGACTTTTAGCGAAATTTAAAATAGGAATAATGGTAGTACCTACTTCATGATAGTGCTGGGGGGATTCTATGACTTAATACCTGGGAAGAACTCGAGAGTATCTGGTGCATTCCGCCATGCAATCACATTCGTTAAGTTTACTATTTAACCTCACTGTGTCCTCTGGCAAGTAGAACACAATCAGCAAAACGCAGCGTAGGGGAATTAGTTATTGAAGTGACCTCCAGGGACCTGGATGAGCCCTGAGGGTATGGGCAAAGACATGCAGGTAGAGAAAGGGGTAAGAGAGGCCTGAAAATCGGGGTCTGTCTGGGGAGGCCCAGCTGGATGGAACAGGGATTTCTAATCAGCCAGGAGACAGAATGGACACGCTGAGTTCCTGGATAGAGCAAGTTATCTATGAGGGAGAAGAGCACTAGTCTAATGATAATTGTGTAAAAAGGAAAAAGAACAAAAAAGACAAAAGAAAAAGGTCGCTGTAATTGATAGATGCCAGGGACAGTGCTAGCCACTTTATTTGCATCATCCAATTTGATCCTAAAGCAATCTTATAAGTCAGACGTATTCTAGTTTGATGGAAAAAGAAACAGGCCCGGAGTGCCTTCTCAGTGGATAGTGGAGCTGGGAGCTAAACTGTTGTCCCAGCTGGATCCTGTGGCTGGCACAGGCCACAGGAACCTAGTGCCTCCGCTTGCCTGAACCCAGTTGTCTTAGGAAAGCAAGACCACAGAGAAGCCCAGCTCCTTCCTCTCTTCCTGGTACAGAACCAGCATCAGCAATAATTAGAATCCAGATGTGGCCAATGTGGGCTGGCTGGAGGAGGGAAGCAGCTGGCAGACCCCACCAGGGCATGGGGACATGAGGAGGAAATCCTGCCAAGAGGAGTCCACACCCGAGTCAGGGAGTCACGGGGCTTTCCAGCGAGCGCCCCTCACATCCACCTTTGTGCCAGAGAGTCACG